GATAATGGCAGATGGAAACCATGCACATATAAACAGAAGAAGGCAGCTATAAAAAGGTCAGTAAAACACATAATGGAGGAAGACTAGACACAGTCTTTCAGTGTTTAAAGGATCTTTATATGTGTGACAGTTCTGGACACATGAGTTGGTCTCGTGCCGCTAGATACTTCTCCCAGTAAACCTTTAAACTTTTTAAAGGCCTATTTTTATTTTTGTGGTGTTTTTCACAGCTGCTTATTTAAAGATCGTGGGCAGCCTGTGAGTGACTGTATTAAAGAAATATGAAGTGGCTGATAAAATGGCCAAACAGCATGACTATAATGTGTTTATTGAGACAAATCTGTCCCATTCTGGTTTTAATTCAAGAGTGTTTAGGTATCAGCTGCTATAGTGAAGACATGCAGGTCTGGGAAGGAATTGGAATCTTTTCTACCTACTGATGCATTGTCTCTGAGGAGGAGGGAGAGCCCCTTCTTTCAAATATCCCTCTCCTGGGGCACTCTCTCCAAGTGTTTTAAAGCCATCTTGTTTATATTTATAACCTTGGTTTTACCTTTTCCCTGATCCTCCTTGAATAATGATGGTTAATTCTTATTTACCATTTCTAATTGGTAGCTCTTTAAGTGCTTTATAGTGATGGTCAGGATAGCTCTTCTTATTTTACAGTAGAGAAGGTGAGGTCTAAAGAGGCAAAATAGTCTTGACCGTGATCCTATTCGTTCTGGCCCCTCTGCTGCACTTGAATGGAGGTGTGTACTCTGAACTCTTCAGATGCTGTTTGCTCACTGTACCAGTGGAGTTGGGGAGAAAGCTGTGGCTTTCTTGTCAGAAGCTTGAATCACTGTGGAGTGCTCCTACAGTGGATAACTTGCTCAACGTAAGCATGTTCTGATCTTCATGCTTTGCTGCAGTGACCACATTTGAATTGCAGTTCTTTGCTTGTAATTGCAGAACTTCCCTTTCTGGGCTCCCTTCCTGATGCGGAATTATGTCCTGCTGGCTGTGGCCCACCGTATTCAGTCCCCTCGTGCACTGGATTCAGTGACTGACTGAGACAACTCTGTGATAGTTGCGTGCCAATCCCTCACCTGAGAAAAGAAAGGAGGATCCATTCTTCCTGGCAGTAGCAAAAGGCACAGAGATTTTAGGACTTTTTTTTTCCTTTTGGTGTTCCATTTTATGCTGTACCATACAGAACAGAGCCAAAGTCATACAGGTAGGCAGGTGAAAGCAGTTCTAAGCCATTCCCTGTCACAGCAACTTGTCAGGGAATCTCTAATAGTTATTTTTTATTCTCACATCAGTTGAGTCAAATCTGTTCCATTCAAAATTACTGCCCTGACATTTGAACCTTTCAGGCAGAGTGCCAGAGGCAGCGCATTATTTTTCTGTTGGAAAAGGAGGAAAGAAATTGTTGACATGTAATTAACAGAACCAGATAGAATTTGAAATCTGAATGACACCCATTATTGAATAATGAGCTTCAAATCCTTTGTTACAAATCACTTTAACATAGCAATGGTATGGGGGGATTCAGAAAGGAGAGTAACTTGTTTTGCTTGAGCACTGCTCTTGCATTTAGACAAATGCTCATGAGAGTTGTTTCATGAAAGATGTACCTATACAGAGCAGACAGAATCTTGAACCATAATGGCAAAACTGAGTGGGTAGGAGTGAGCCTGTGCAGCAGTAAGATAACAAATACATCATGTGAAATCAGAGCAAACACATAAAAATCCCATGTTTCTGTTTGCTTGTGTTGCAATGAGCCTTGTGCTCATGCTGCCCACGTGGCTACTCAGACACAGAAAATCCTGTGTACTCTGGGTGCTGGGCAGGCTCTCTGAATGGAAGGTAAGTATGGAGAAATACACTGTGTGTCCTGTGTGCTGCACTTGTGCTGGCCTTAAGGCTGTCAGACAAATAACCTGTGTGATGTGTGGGGTCTGTGACTGGTGTGCTGTGCCTAATCACACAAGTGGAAGGAGAGGGAGAAGGTGGTGAAAACCTTCATTTGCCCTCAGCTTGCTGAATCTCTGCTGGGGTGTCTATGTATAATTTTTCTTTTTTTAGAATCAGGACTCTAGAGTTCTAGGCAGGCAAACTCTGTCTTGTATCTACTATTATGAAGTGTCCATCCACAAATGTGTTTCTGTCTGTATAACCATTGTGTCTCAGAATACAAAATAATACTAATGCATAGCTTCAAATGGAATACTAAGCTATAATTACTTGTTCCTTTTAATTAAGGGAGAGCTTTGATGCCCTAAGATCTTAGCATATTGGAAGTAATTAATTGTAGATTAAATTAGAAGACAGATTAGTTTTATCAAAATTCAGATTTGTGAAAATGATTTTATGCTGTAAGGGGTAAGCTTTATATGGGGTGAGTGGTTATAATTATAATATAAATTATCTTTTTATCAGTCCTAAAGTATCAAATTCATCTGTTACATGAAACCGAGGTAAGTTCTGAAGGCATTTCATATAGTACTATGGGGTTCAGAGGAGATGGATAGGGGTGTCAAACTGACACTGGTTAGAAACAAATGTAGGTTAGCTGAAATTCCAGGGCAGCTCAGAGATGTTTTAAGAAAGTGTGATTCTATAAGTTTTAAGAAGATGAGAGAGGAAAAACAAACATTTTCCTGTTTTAATAAGGCAGTCTGTGAAGATTTTGACATCAGTTTTTAGTGGTAACTGAAAGCTGAAGAGTTTGAGGAAATTGCTGTTACAGAGCTGTTTCTGTGAGTAGAGTCAGAGGAATGTTCTTTAAAGCCACATCCCAGGACCTGAGCTGATAAAGCTGGTTTCTGTGCAAAATGCATAAGACAATCTTTTTTATGCTTTCTGTAAAAAAATAAAATAATAAATGACTGGACTCATGGTAAAGTGATTGTGATGCTCCATAAGTTCCAAGATTTGTTCCAGTTTAGACTCCCTGCAATTCAGAAAAATATTGAAATCTTTCATTCTTCTCTCTGGACAAATCCCCTTGCCTGAACGAAAGCCTGCACCATGCTCTCTTGCTTTGACTCATTCCCTATCTCCCACTCAAGCTCCTGCATTGCTTGAGGAATATCTGCCTGCCTGACCTGACAGGCTGCTGCCATGTTCAGGGACTTCTCTCAGGATTAGAAAGGTGCAAAATCTATTCAGTGCCTTTGCTTGTAAGGAAGTCTATCAGCAAGCAAGATGTGGAAACAACCCAGTTAAGCATTATTGCATCTGCTGAGACCCAGCTATGTTTCATGGAATATCAGCAAAGGGATCCCCACACACCTTTTGGAAAAGCAATGGCTGGGTGATTATATGATGATATGTATTCAGGAGGACTTGTCTCTGGAAAATGTGATTTGGTTTATGCTGTTGGGAAAAGTTAGGTCCCAAGATAGTTTTGTCAGCGTACTCATAATTTTATTCTAAGAATCATCCCTGACATATTCTACTTACTCTCCTTCTTGGATCTTATTTTTGCAGGTACACTGGAGACCAAGAAGTTAGAGCCCAGTCAACAAACCGGGACATAGCACAATGCATGAGCTAGTGTCACAGAATACTTGGGTATCCCAAATGTCCTGGGGACAGATCAGTACAAAGCTGTTTAGAAAAGTCTTTATGCACCTCAACTGTTGCAGTTTGTGTCAACTCATGAAAGAGGCAAAGGAAAGCAGCTACAATGTAAAATAATAAATTCACTTGTAGGGACAATTTCTGGAGGAATCAAATAGTAAGAACTTTCACTACAGTCTTGCTTTAATACCTGACAAGTCAAAACTGCACCTTGTTTTATACATTTTTTTTTTTTAATGCATAGGATGTCGATATATAGCTTTGAATTGAAATGGTTTTATATGTGATGCAACCTCTTAATGGGAACGGGTTTTCTTCTACAAAGAGAGGAGGGTAAAAATGCCTAAAATAGTGCCTTTATTAGTGCTTTATCACTTAAAACAATGATATCATGTGCTTCCTGCTATTGCACATGATGTGCCCATGCTAATACTGCAAATGTCCTGGGTAATATCGAACTAGTAATGGTCTTTAAGAAGACTGTCACCAGTGAAGTGTACATTAGACAGCTGTGTTGTGTTCTGACATTTAGCTATTCCAGTTTAATTTTTTTTATCTGGTTGGTTGTGGTATTCTGATGGGACTGGAGAAGATAAGGTTACAGGAAGAGGCTGATATGAGAAAGCCTTATGTGCTACTTTAGATTGAGTGGGTCAAATGCATGGGATTGTATATAGATAAAGAAGTCTGGTTTTGCTTGTTAGCAGTTACTTTTATTATGGAGCAGAGGAAAAGATAATGCTGCTTCATCTCTGTTTCAATCCAGTAGAACTCCATTCCTCATCTAAGCTTTAGTGATTGTTTATTCAGTCTGACATGATGTCTTTGGGAAAAATTGACATAAAAGACAGGAAATGATGTCTGGAGAGGAAAATGCCACTTGACCTCACAGGCTTGTCCCCCTTAAGTTTCTCTTAAACCCCAGTTTTTGGTTTTGTCACTATATCCTTTAATCCCGTCTCTCTCCATAAAAGTGCCAAGATGTTTCCAAGCCACTTAGACTGCAGTACTTGTTTCCATGTTCTTACTTGGCAACTAATTCCATGAGTTCATTATACTGACCCTGAGTAAAATAGTTTGAATTTCCGGTATACACAATTATTTTGGGTTATGACTTCTGACTTTTGAACCCCTCACTAGGACGCACCATTTAAATTTCTTCATCAGCTCTGAGTGCTGTTACTGGGTCAACTCAGTGTCAGTATTCCTCTAAGAGCATTATGCTAGTCAGAATTTCTTCCTACATCTTCTCTTGGAACAACTGCAGAAAAATCTGGGATCTTCTGTTCAGAAAGCACGACTTTTCCACTATCATGTTTGCCAGGAGTCATGGGATTGTTTGCAGATATGAGACAGTTAGGTATTTTATGAAAAGTAAAACTGGACTCTGTAACTAATATCCCTTGTGTATTTCATGCTCTCCACAGCTATGCAGGACTGCATTCTGATCTCATCTGCAGCAATACAAATGGTAAGTAGCACAAGCAATTTTAGTACATGATCTGAGTGTAGAAAGAGGTATAACTTGAGAAAACACCCAGCACTCTATTCCCCCTCTGCAGTCATTCCTCTGTGTAGTAAAAATATTCTATATGCATTTTGTTTTCAGTGTTTAAAGCATCTACAATTAAAAAAATAAGCAAAATACAAAGCCAATAAAAATACAGCAGATAGTAAATATCTGGTCAATGCACAAGGAAATAGAACATCTGATTTATTTTATTCTTTCTTTCACACATTCTACTCTTTAGCTGTACGAAGTAATGGGATATTAAAAGGCGATTTTCTTTCCAGTTGCTTCATCAATTTATTGTATCAATATTGTCAAGTACTCCTGTAAAATAACCTAGCAGCCCAGACCCACTTAATTCAGCCAAATGTTAGTCTACCAGTATATATCTCTAGTGAAGAGTGATTTGGTGGGAGTTTAACTGAGGGTGCAAAATGGACATACAGATAGATTCCCAGCTGGAACTGTTTTGAAGTTTGTGTAAAAGCTGGTAATAATCTCCTAAAATGCACTCTCAGCCAAAAAAAGAGAAGAAAAGGGCTTACAGCACTGAAGTGGTATTTACTATTTTTTATTTCCTTCCTTAACTTCCTATCAGCCATGGGAATTTACAAGCTTTCCAACAAGGCTGAAGAAATACAGGAAACCACAATGACAGATCCACTTGAAAAGACCATTTCATGAGAGTTGAGAAAATACAAGATATTTTTTATCAGTGGTTGAAGATGTCTATTAGAAACATTGCTAATAATGCCGGAGTTCAGTAGAAGAAAAGGAGTGTTTCTCATGCACAGCTGGCAGACAGTTGTTCGTATCAATAGATATATATATTTTTCACCTGAAAGCCACTCTGTGCAATCCAGTTCTCTCAGAAATAGATGTAAGGTTACAAATTTTGGGCATGTTCTTCAAATAAGCCATTTTTTATTCTCTTTAAATATTCATTTATAAAAAGGAGTTCTGCTAAGACAAATTTATTTGTTTTTGTGAGGGTTTTTTTGACTGTGCAAGTATCAATAAATGTGTAAGAAGTCTGGGTGAACATCATTGAGTGTTGATCAGTACAAGAAAAAAACTCTTGTTCTGAATTTGTTGGGCTTGAAAAATTCTTCTGGTTTTGCCAGAAATAAGAGGTAGGATGAGGAAGGAAGCCTTTCTAGAAGTATGTTAGTAGCCGTAAGCCGGAACCAGAAAGTGCAGAGGCACACAGAATTGAACAGGGAAAAAAAGAAGGGCAAGAAATTCTTTGCAGACTTCAAAGAAACAAATACAAGATAAAATAAACCCCTTGGCTTGAGGTTAGGGTAAGGATTTGGTGCTGTTACTCTTCATTGTTCAAAATTTTAGGGCAGATTTTTATCCCCAGAAGTTCTTTTTCTTCCCTAGGACAAATTCAGAGAGCAGATTTTAAGAACTCCTACTAAGAGTGATTTTGAGAGAACTTCTGACTGATATGTTCAAAGGGAGAAGAGTTAGCCCCACAATACGTTGTGTTTGAAATACACAATCAGCCATAGGAGCAGTGTTTGCCTGCGCTATGCCCCTCTGTGTGTCATATTTGTTACATCTTCCACTAGTTTGAAGGAGGACTCTCTACAGCTAGCTGAAAGGCAGATGGAGCAAAGAGGTGGCTGGTCTCTTCTCCCATGTAACAAGTGACAGCACAAGAGGCAACATCCTCAAGCTGCCCCAAGGGAGGTTCAGACTGAATATTAGAAAAAATTATTCAATGAAAGGGTAGTCAGGCATTGGAACAGGCTGCTTAGGGAAGTGGTGGAATCACTGTCCCTAGAAGTCTTCAGAAACTGTGTAGACAAGGCCCTTAGTGACATGGTTTAGTGGTGGACTTGACAGTCCTGGGGTAACAGCTAGATTTAATGATCTTAAAGGTTTTTTTCCAACCTGATTCTATGAGTTTATGAATTTTTATTATTCGGTCAAGTTGTGCTTCTCTTCTGAGAAGTGATAATTTAGTATGTATCATCTTTGTATTGTAAACTTGCTTGTATTTTCTGTCAGTGACATTTCTACTACTCATTAATTCCATAGGAACTGTTCAGAGGTATTCAGTGCCATTTTGTGCAACTTCCACAGAACTGTACACAAAGTTACACAAGTGTTTGCCTTAGATTGCTTGGTTGTTGCTGAGAGCACAGCATACAGGTGCCAAGGCACTTGACTGACACGTTTCTGACGTGACGTGGTGTGCTGGGAATTGTAAATCAGAAATGGTGTGTGAAGAGGCTTCACAGTGATGTATGAAAGGACTTGGCTGGACAGTCTTGTACATATGTGCCCATCACCTAACCAGATGGCTGGTTAGAATTGCCTCAGCAGAAACTGCCTCTGTTGAGCTCCAATTTTTTCTGCTCCAGAGACCTCCCTGTCCATACCTCTCACTATTCTTCCAGCTGCACCAGAAACTTAAAACTCTTCTCTGCCCCTTTCCCGCATTCGTTTTCCCGCAACCTTCTCATCATCGTGGGCCAGGAGGGAGTGAAGTACACTGTGTTACTCCTTCAGCCTTGGGCTCAGAGCCAGTTCAGACCATTTTTGCACATACTGAGACTGGGCAGTACAGGAGTTCTGGGCAAGCAAAATCATCTCCCTTCCATTATTAGACAAAGTTCTGGGTCAGAAAACCTGGCAATATGGTAGTCCAGTGCAGAGATGTAAACAGTGTCTTTTTCTGTCCCACAAACTATTATTATGGGTTGAGATGGGAAAGAAATTTGTCAGAGTGATTCTCAGATCCCAAGCTCAGTTTCCAAAGCAAGCAAAATAAAATAAAATAAGCACAATTTATGTGTAAATCAGTAAGATACAAACAGTGTGGAATCTCAAGTGCAATACTAGTGGAACTGCCAAATTGTAGTTAGTGAGGTATTGCTGTATATCTGAGCATGTGGATTTTAGGTTGCTTCTGGAAAATGCTCATTGTCAACTATGCTATTCTGTTTTCATGCTTTCCTGAGTCCTCTGCTTAGTCTACTTTAGTCTCATGTGCAGAAGTTTCCTTGACTGCTGCCTGCAGGTGATAACAGTATCACATAAAAACAATATATGGGCAGTGATGCCTAACCCAAGTATGATTTTTGGGGGTAAAGCTTTGTGTAGAACAAGTTTTTGCTGCAAATGAAGACATATGGGCCCACACTCTCCAAGCTATTACCTGGCTTTTTCAAGAGGCTTTTTTTTTGCTGGATTCCACAGCACAGTTTCTAGTACATTCAACACCAAGAGCTATTAATTTAATAGGATTGAGATTATTTCCTATAATACACTGCTCCACTGCTTCCTTGTAGAAAACCCATTGTGGGGTTTCTTTAGGTTACATGCAGTCCTTGGGATTTTGTAATTTTATTGGAAGATGCCTACAATTACCAACTAACTTCAGGCTTCATTAGCTCATTAGCTTGTCTTGTAACTCTGCCTGCCCTTTAGAGTTTCATCTTTTCTCCAAAAGTTGTGCAGAGTGTCATTTTGTACTTATTTCAATTTTGTGTGTACTTGGTGTGAATTCTTCTTGGGTTTGAATCTAGTTTAAATAACTATGCCTATAGAACCTGTATAAAATACTGTACTGGCACCAGTGTAAATAGAACTGAAATGGCTAGCAGGCCACAGCATAATAAATCAGAATGATTAGTCATCCTCTTGGGATACAGATGAGTCAGTTCAGGTCAAGACACTTCTTCTGGGAAAACTAGATAGCTGGTAAATGTATTACCAGCTGACTGTCAAAGTCCCTGTGCCATACCAGGAAATATCCTTGACTTAGGCACCCTTCCCTTCCTGCAATGACAGAAGCAAGCCAACTGCCTAACAACTCATTCTCATTTGCAAGAGAGCATTCTCATTGGCAAGCCAAGCAAATTGTTTCTCCCTGATATTCTTTGTATTTGTGGGCTAACAACAAAGTTTTTTATTAGATGAAATACTATCTGCAACGTAACATGCAGCCGTTTTTAATTCTACTGGACCAGAGGCATTGTTACCTCACAATCATTTCAAATGTATTTCTTTAATAATATTTTACCCTCTCCTCAAATGAGTTCCAGATTTTAATTTCAGAATAAAGCAGGAGCATTTTCTTTCACCACATTCTACCATGATGAGCAGAATTAAAGCCTGTGCTTCCACCTGAGTAAAGATTACAGAATTAACTCAACTGAATGTGAAACAAACAAACAAAAATCATCTGTTCTCATCAGTATCTCTTCCTTTTCATACTGTTAGTCAAGGGGAGACTTGAAATGCCATGTTGGGGCTGAGCACTAATGCCTCAAAGTAAAGATGTTTCTTAATCCAAGCTGGAAGCATCCACAGCTCCTTTTTATTTTGATAGTCAAGAGCTGATCAGCAGATCCACAGGACCCGTTGCCTATTTATTTTGTTTTTATAAGTAACTGCTCTCCAAATAAAGCATAAACTTCTATCTTAGCCTTTTTCATAACATCTTACTTTATTTGTCTCTAGATATGCCACAAACAGGGATGGCCTTGGTTATTTGTTCATGGCCTCACCAGGGGTGAGTTTACTAGGAATCCTGTTAGTTCCCTCTTCTCCCTCCATTCCATCTGCCTGTGCCTATTAGCACTTCTCAGTACAGCGTGTCAGCCAGGACCTGTCGAACATCATGGCTGGGCCCAGGTCTGATCTAATAATTTGCTTCTGTCATTCCTGCCGCTAGCTTTCAGCTGTAACCTCATTCCAGTGTGCTCTCTTTAACCTGTGTGTACCTGTGTGTCAGAGGTGCAGTACCATCCAGAGATCTGGGACGAACAGAGCTGATGGGAGTGGAACTGTCTGGAAATGTTCCAGTGATGCCAAGGTCTACAAACACAGATCTCTTGAGGCTGAAATGGTTGGAATTACAGGCATTTTTGCTGAATTGCTGCAGCTTTGATGAAGACTATAATCTAGCATCTGGCATATGGCTATCTTGGGAACATGATCTCAATGCCTTTTGGAGCCTCAGGTCTCAGGCTGACTGATAATGGCCTGCCCTGCATCAGGAGATTTCGGGAACTCAGCAGAGGAGCAGCCCATCTAGGGAATGTGCTCTGGAAGGCGAGTTCCTTGGTTTCGATGCTTTTTCCAGTGTTGGGGCTGTAGATCTCAGAGATTTCAGGTACTCAGTCTCACACGTGTGAATATATTATTTGGCAAAGCTCTCTACAGTACCAAAACAAGGAACTGGACATGTTTCTATTGCCTACAGTGTGTAACCTACTTTGCATTTACCTCTTCAGATTCCACCAGGACAGACAGTTATATAACGAGTAATTGTGACTTCACATTTGACCAGTGAATATATATATTTCAGAACTTGTGTTCTGTGACCCATACTAGTCTAAAGTTTGCTTTTAAATGAAGGGCTCATTTACCAACACAATGTGAATGATGCACCTGTCCTCTCTTACAGTGAAGGAATTGCAGTGGAAGACATGTATCTGACATTCATCAGATGGCCTTTCATGATACATCTGAGGATTTTGCAATGTGTGGACAACATGCAGACACAGCACAAATCATTAAATGACTTGGGTAGATCAAGTCTGTACATGCCAGAGGTGCTCAGGTAATAAATAACTTTGAGCAAACAGATACAATTATCTACAATGCAATATATTTGTATACATAGCCCCTCATTGCTGTTTTGGTCACTTATCTACCATGGCCAGAACAGCAATTTCTAAACCTACGAAAAGCTGGAATTAGTTTTGAAAGAGAAAAAAGGCTTTGTCAGGAAAGAGATTGATTATTCCACTTTGGTAGACATCATGAAATGTTTGATATTGCTGGGTTGGGTATGTGTGGCTCTTAGGTTTTGCTGAGTGACCTTTTGTAGCTCAATAATTAGAGAGCTTTGTGATGGGCACTTTACAAACCTTAAGATAAGTGTGTTGTGTATAAGGCTCTGTTTCCTAAGCTGGACGGGATTCCAAGCTTTCAGACAGATAAATCATGTATATGGCTTCTGGAAGATTCAGAAGTTAAACTGTTCGTCTCCTGGTGATAAGGCTCAGTTAAGTATCCCCTAAAACTCTTAAAATATAGGTCTCAGTCCTACAGTATAAGGCTCATTGATTCATTGGCTTCAGCTAAAGATTTACTTGAAAACAAGTGTCCATAACACATGGCAGGATTAAAACATTATCTTTTTTTTTTTTATTGTTTTGTTTTGTTTCTGTGAAGCTTTTACCTGAGAGTAAGGAAAACTGGTGTTACAGCCATATGGATACTGGGCTCAATGGTATAAAATTCCTAGTGGTCTACAGAAATTGAATCTGACTGGTACTTTTGTCTGACAGAACAGATCTAGTTACCACCTACCTTACTGGGTTGTGGGTTTTTTTCTATTGCTGCAGTTGTAAATGGCACTTGAGAAATAACAGGCAGTAATGCCAGTGTCACAGAGTATATATCTGAAATTGGAATACTGCCTTGGTCCTGTGGATTTTAATTTGTAATATGGATCTTAACTCTATAAAAAATCCAGGTAGAAGTATTCTTCTGGCTTCACATACCTCTTTTGGACTCATTTATTGAGAACAGAACTGCTCTATTAGAAGCCCTTTCCACAGAGGACTCTGTAGGATTAGGACTGTAAGCAAGCTGTGACAGAAATGCCAGCTGTGATATAGGATTGCATGTCAATGCTGTGGGAAGATGGAGGAAGGGAGAAAGAGCCTAGTTCCAGCACAGCATTTCTCATTCATAGATTTTGAGGACTCCAGTGTTGTTTTACAATGATATCCCAAGGTTACTCAGCACATGAGTGACACAGCTGGGAATGAAGTCCAGGTGTCCTGCGCCCCAGTCCACTGCTCCATCCACCCTCCCTCCAAAGAAGCAGTGTTTGCAAAGAGCTGTAGGAAATGCCCAATTTGCCTGTGTTTCACCCCAGGAATGGAATGCTAGGTCAGCAATATTTACTTTATCTTGATCCCCCCTAATTTTTACTTTTTAAGAGCTGTTTCTGTGACAGAGCCTCTTTCAAATTCAAAACATGTTGCTAGTAGAGCTTGGAAAATTTCTTGCAAGTTATTGATGCTTGTAAAATGGTGATTCCCAGACTTTGCCTGTGAAGCTTGGAAAATGGTGATGGAAGGAAGCGATTTCCTAGCAGTGTGTCAGCTGTGGTCCTGTGCGGCACCCTGGTTCCACCGATAACTGGATTTGGGAGTGGAGCATGGTTGGTCCTGCCTTCACCCTGTGTTGGATTTCACCTCATTGCCCTTGTTCTGAAGGTAATGGGTTTAGAGATACAAACTTGTGTGTTTCTTGGTCTGGAGCTAAACAGATTGCTGCTCTTAAAAGCCCCACCACCCACTGCTGCAAATCTATTAAACATCTCCAGTTAACCATACAACCTCCTGCTTCAGCAGCTGAGCGTGTAAATTCCTGTGACCAAATAGCTGCACAGTTAACTGCTTTCACATGTGCTCCCACCATGCCCATCTCAAAAGGCGAAATCCTAGCCTGGCTTTGCCCCATGGGTAGCTGGCCAGTGACCAGGACATGGCTGTTCTGAGGGTCGGATCGAGCACTCAGGAGTCATGAAGACTCCCTGGGAGTGGGGCAGAGGCAGTCCAGGTGATGATGGGACCTCTGGCTTGCCCTTGTCCTCCTCTTGCCCTGGCACTAAAGAGCCAGTGAGTGGCTACTGTGTGAAGCCAGACTTACTGCTGGGCTTCCCTTCCCTGGCCTGATTCTGCTGAAGCTGGGTGATAGGGTTCATGGTGGCTCCCCAGGCATTGCTTGGTGTGCCCTGGGGTGCTTCCTCTGCATGGAGGGGAAACTGCTTTTATTTTTTCCATCTCCCGGGTTGTGGAGAGGTCTTAGTTCCAAGTGAAACAATGCACAACTGGGCAGAAAGCACTGTGGCAGCTCGGAGGTGCAAGTAGTTTCCCCCAGCAGCCCCCTGCCCCGGCTGTTTGCTGTGTCCCTACTGCTCTCGGGCTGTGCTCTTTGTATCCATCCTTGATCATGACATGGAGGGGCATTGGGGCCCGCTGCCAGCCCAGCACCGAGGCCCAGCCTGGGGTGCCTGGGCAACAAGGTGCTGTAAGTAACCAGCCTTGTTAGAAACAAAAGGGCAGCGTTCCCCCCAGTCTGGAAGCAGGGGTCGGGGAGCCCTCTGTGAAAGGCAGCGGTTAATTTGAAACACAGCTGAAAATCCCGGCGGCGCTGGGAGCGTGTTTGCCTTGGCTGCTCCGAGCTCTGCGCTGCAGCACCGAACAGTCCCCTGGCCACTGGCCAGGCTGTAATATTTCCTTTCGCTGTTGTTCATAAAGGCATTCAGGAAAACAATTGAGTGCAATGAGGGCTTTCCCGTTCCGGCGGCGTGCGTGCCTCAGGCGAGCAGAGCCTGGCAGTGGGGACCCTGCCTGGCCTGGGGGCAGTCGTGGGGCCTGGGGGCAGCCGCGGGGCCTCTGGCCACGCTTTGAGGGAGCCATTGTTTGAAAGCTGTTTCTCCCACCCCTCAAGGCACTACGGGCTTCTCCCAGCAAACAAAAGGAAATGTCACAGCTGTATTTTGGTGTGGCGGTTATGGAGTGTGCAGTTTAAAAGGATTTTTTTCATGTAAGAGCTGTGGCTTTTAAAGTGCCCAGATAGCAGAGGCCACGCACCCCCAGCACACAGAGCTGCAGCCCCATGAAGATGGTGGTGTGTTTTTTCTCTGTGGGAGGAGGAATACACTGCAGTGCTACAAGGCACCTCGTAGCTGGGTCTGTCTGAGAGGCAGTGCTGAATGAATTGCTTTAAAATAAAAAAACCCCTCACTTCACACACTTAGTTATATGGGCATAAAGTCTGCACACGAAGCAGGCCTCAGGCTACCCAAGATGTCAGGTATGCAAAGGAAATCATATGGAACATAAACTAATAAGGACAGAAATGCTCAAATTACATGCCGTTTGCATTACCTGGGGCATGGCAGCAATAAACGTGAGCTCAAGGGAAACCTGGCAAGTCTCTCGCTCCTTGTACATGTACAACTACATCAGTTGTAATGGAGCCAGCCGGGTGCTGGGAATGCCCCTTCACGGCTCAGGGAAGCTCTGAGGCTGCCCAAGACCCTGCAGGATCCTGGCTTTTAGTATCCAGGACTTGCTGAAGTGTTAAAACACCACCAACTTAGGGAGACTGGCCTGACATCCGTATGTAAGTTTGGACAACCCTATCAAGGCCATGTTTATGCTTGTTAATGGCCCTGGTTTGTGGCTGGAGGGTAGCCCCTGGTGTACCTTAACAGGACAAATCTCAATGTACAGAAAGCACCTGGTAGCCTCGTGCTGATGGAGTTAATGCTAAGTGAGGTTGGCAAATCCTGGACAGATGACAGTATCAAAGAGCCTGATGTTTCACATCTGGGGTGAAACTGGTGGTCCAGGAATTGCACCAGGCCACAGCTTGCTGTTTTGCTTGCTCTTGGGAATGCTGGCCAGTTCACATGAATGCTTCAAGATGTTCAGGAGGAGATGTGTGATGTTCTACCTCTTTTTAAAGACAAGAAAGCTGAGAGCAACATGGTTTTCATCTACTGTAGTGTAGTCCAGACATGTCCTATGTCCTCTTGCCTGCTGACTCTAGCCGGAAACAGAAGTTCTTCTCCTGAACAAGTCAGCCATTCATGTTTTAGATGAAGAGAGAAGAAGGGGATTGTCTGCATCCCAGTCACCCTGCTTCTGCTAATTAAGGTGCTACCAGCCAAAGCTGTAGCTAGTTAAGGATAATCAGTGGTAGGAGGGAATTGTGTGGGGCAGAGGACTGGAGGGTTTTGTGATCACCTGTGTAAAGATAAATAAACATTTTGGTGTGTGAACACTACAGAGCATTTTTTATTACAATGACCTCACAGTTATGGGTTTGGTGTGTGTTTTTCATTTGGGCCTTGTTTAGACCCATACCTTTCAAAACAAACTTCACAAAGAACATCAGTTTCTCAGGTGGCAGAGTTCATGCAGTTCAGAGCCTCAGGTGAGCAAGATTAATTGTGTTTTAAAGCATGTGACTTTGTTAAGGAGAATGCTGCTGGGGAGTCACTGAGATTTTTATCCCAGTCTCTAGGATGAGCTGAGATAGGTCTGTCCTGAGATTCCTTGTAGATCCAAGCTTGTGGGCCAAATTAGACACAAACATGCTGTGACATGTTCCTGACATCAGGGTAGTCTCATGTGGGCCAGGACAGGCTCCTGGGGGGGTTCATTAACCCCTGCTAACGTTAAAGGGAGAAGTGCCTATGTTGATTCACTACAGCCAGGAAAGAAGCATTTGCCTGGGCTGGTATTAAAAACTGGATTCAGAAACCTTGGCTGAAGCATGTTTTCTGGCCTCCTTCTAGCTCCCCCCTATAGTAACTAGTGCCTGCTATCTTGCTCTAGGGAAGTAACTGCTTATTGGGTGAAGCCTTGCATGTGTTGAAGTGGCACTTTTATTGTTGTTGCGGCTCGAGCTCTTCAGTTTAGGGATCACATTTAAAAGTGGTTCCTTGTTCAGGGGGCAGGAATGCTAAAACAGTAACTTAGAATCATTCAGTGATGTCTCTTGTTAGAAGCCTGTTAGGATTGGGTTGTGTACAAATGATCCCTGTGAATAAGCTTTTTCTTTTGGGCTAATGCTCACCTGAAATCTAATGACAGAAATTTGTATTGAAGGGACCAAATGGAAGCACCTCTTTCAGGCAGGTACACTGGTGATGCAGGAAAGCATCAATTTTCCCAGTGTAGTTGGCAAGATCTTTGGCATATTACTGCCTAAATAATTTTTTACTTATTCTTTCTAAATGAATTCAATTTTTTTTTTGTTTGTTTGGGGTGTTTTGGGGTGTTTTTTTGTGGTCTGTTTTTTTTTTGACGTACACCCCAAATTCCTCTGGCCTTTTTAACATGAATAGTTGGGCGGTTCCCAGTGTCTGCAAAATAAGTATTGGTTGCTTTTTTCTTTAATGACAGTAATTGAATTACACTGTTTTGTGTTTCAAGACTATTCTGGCAAGGAAGTGGCTTGAAAATTTACCTGGAAAAGTTATCACCATATAGTCCCAAGAGCACATGCTGCGATTTTCAGGTGCATTTTTCTTCTTCCACTTCAGAGGCAAGTGGCAGGTATATGCTACCTTGAACCAAAAAAATGGCACAGTTCTTGTTGCTGTTCAGACCTGAGGGAGATGCACTACATGTTTCTCTTTTGGGCAGTGCAGTTGTATCTCACATCTATGAATACCCACAAGGAGTTTTAAAAAGCAGTCTCCCCTGGGTGTCACACATTATCATATTTGAAGAAACACTAAGCAGCTGTGTTTCAGTTACAGTGAGTTTATAA